AATTGAACTTAATACTATTGATCATGAATTTAAACTTGTAGCATATGAACTTAAATATATTAAAATGATTCTAAGCATATACATAAATTTGGCTAAGGTTCAACTTCGCCGAAATTACTTAATTTCGTTCGGAACATGACTTCGAAATCAATTCGAATATTCATGACTTGGAATAATTAATACCAATGTTTTGAAAACTGGACCGGTCATTGAACCGGTGAAGGTAGCGGTTCAATGGTTCACTGGTCGGACCAGTGGTCGAACCGGTCGAACCGTTTTAGTTAATATTGTTTTTATTTATTTTATATGTATAATATATAAATGTATATATTTTTATTATTAATTTTACAGTATATAATGACATTTGTCTAAATAAATAAAAGAAAAAAATGTCCCTACATGCTTTTGTAATGAACACATTTTAATACACTCATACATGCTTATGTAATGTCCAAATTTTTAAGCTTATGGGCCTTTCTACTTATTAATGGGGCGCACAAGAATCAGTGTTTTAATAAATGGGTTTCAGCCAAGGCCCAATAACAATAATGCAATGATGTAGCCTGGTTGCTTTGAGCTAACAAATAAAGTGGGCCCATTAGTAGCCAATGAATTGGGACATCATTTTATCCCACATCGGGAAAACAATAGAAAAAAGGAGCTATTTAAGTGCTTTTACAACCTACATCAATCAGACTTGAATGAACCGCTGGGCCTGGAAAACCGTTACCAATTGACCAGTTTTGCAGTTTTTGACCGGTTCAAGCGGTTTTCATCCGGTTTTGGTCCCAGCCAGTTTGAGCTGGTTCAAGCGGTTTTCATCCGGTTTTGGTCCCAGCCAGTTTTATAGCTCGAACCGAATCGGTATATTGGGCGGTTCCCGGTTGAACTGGTTCAACCGGCCGGTCCGGTCCGGTTCTGATAATATTGATTAATACTGACTGATAACATTTGATAATAAAATAAATATTATCGAACTAAGCACATAATTTATATTAATAGCATAATGGGTGATTACAATCTGCCCTCCTTAAAATATTTCCGTCATCGGAAATATAAAACTGAACATGTATACATGGAACATAAGAAAATATATACATCAAAACATAAAATCGGGAAAACGAGCGCGAATATCAGCCTCCTGCTCCCAAGTGGCAACATGACGATTCCATTGGATACGAATGAGGGGAACATCACGTTTCCGAGCTGACGAACCTGTCAGTCCAATACAGCTATCGGTTTCACCTCGTAAGATAAATCTGGATGAATTTGGATATCTGTGTGCTGAAGGACATGATCTGGATCGCACACGTACTTGCGTGAAATAAATACATGGAAAACATTATGAACATTGGATAACTCGGGAGGTAAGGCTAATCGATAAGCAACTTCGCCCACTCGCTCGAGAACTTCGAACGGGCCAATGAAACGAGGATGTAACTTTCCTCTCTTCCCAAATCGAACGATCCCTCGGAATGAACGAACTCTAAGAAAGGCTCGCTCCCCAACCTCAAACTGCATATCTCGTCGATGCTGATCGGCTGATGATTTCTGCCAACTCTGAGCCGTCTTTAACCTTTGCCTGATCAACTCCACCTGTTCTGCTGTTTCCTCGATCATCTTCGGACCGAGTACTCGACGCTCACCGACATCATCCCAATAAAGAGGGGCACGACATTTACGACCGTAAAGTGCTTCGTAAGGAGCCATCTGAATAGAAGCATGATAACTGTTGGTGTAAGTGAACTCGACCAATGGCAATAACAACTCCCACTTGGCACCCCTATCAACAACCAAAGCTCGAAGCATGTCCTCCAACGTCTGAATGGTCGGCTCGGTCTGCTCGTCAGTCTCTGGATGGTAAGCCGAACTGAACTCTAGTCGCGTGCCCATCGCTTTGTGCAAACTCTCCTAGAATCTGCTGGTGAATCTGGGATCCCGGTCTGACACGATAGTAACGGGCACTTCGTGAAGTCGAATGATTCCACGGGTATAAAGCTCGGCTAACTTGTCCAAAGACATATTCATCGATACTGGTAAGAAGTGAGCAACCTTAGTCAATCTGTCCACCACGACCCAAATAGCATCGTGATGTTCAGACGACCTCGGTAGCCCTGTGACAAAATCCATAATAACTTCCTCCCACTTCCACTTTGGAATTTCGAGTGGTTGCAGAAGGCCCAAGGGACTCTTGTGTTCTGCTTTGACTTGCTGATAGGCTAAACATTTCCTCACAAAGTCGTCTACGTCCTTCTTCATTCCTCGCCACCAGAACGACTTTTTCAAGTCGTGATACATCTTTGTGCTCCCTGGATGGGCTAAATAAGGTGCGGTATGAGCTTCGGTCAGTATCTCCTTCCGCAAAATTTCGACTTTTGGTACGACAATTCTGCCTCGAAATTTCAAGGCTCCATCGGTGCCTCGGTGGAAACCCTCAACGCCTCTGGCGCGGACTTTGGCATCAATAGCACGAACAAATTCATCAGCAGCCTGCTCCCGCCAGATCCTCTCCCTCAAAGTAGGTTGAACCTGCATAGTACTGACGCTCCCTGTGATCGCTGTAGGAAGTGCATCAACAACATGAATTTGCATTCGGGCGAACTCTTGGATAAGACGGTTCTGCTGAGTAACAACATAAGTCAAGTCACCCTTCACCTTGCGGCTTAGGGCATCAACAACGACATTCGCCTTTCCTGGATGGTATTGCATAGTATAATCATAGTCCTTGACAAGCTCTAACCAACGACGTTGATGCATGTTGAGCTCCTTTTGAGTGAAAATATACTATAAGCTCTTGTGATCAGTGAAAATCTCGCATTGACCGCCGTATAAATAGTGTCGCCAAATCTTCAGGGTATGAACCACCGCTGCTAGCTCCAAGTCATGCGTAGGATAATTCTGTGCATGAGGCTTTAACTGGCGTGAAGCATAAGCAACGACCTGGCCATCCTGCATAAGTACGCATCCCAAACCCTGTCTTGAAGCATCACTAAAGATGGTGAAACTCGGAGAAGGATCGGGAATAGTCAACACCGGTGCTATGGTAAGCCTCTTCTTGAGCTCTTGAAAGCTAAATTCACATCGATCAGACCACTCGAACTTCACAGACTTTCTCGTCAGCTGAGATAAAGGAAGGGCGATCTTGGAAAAGCCCTCGATAAACCTGCGATAATAACTTGCTAAACCGAGAAAACTGCGAACCTCAGATGGACTCTTCGGTGTCGAACAATTTTGAACAGCGACAACCTTGGATGGATCAACCTCAATACCTGCCTGAGTAATCACATGGCCAAGAAAGGCTACTCGCTGGAGCCAGAATTCACATTTAGAGAATTTAGCATATAACTTTTCACGTCTAAGGGTTTCAAGAACAACCCTCAGATGCTCCTCGTGCTCCTCCTGGCTCTTGGAGTAGATTAGAATATCATCAATGAAAAAAATAACAAATTGATCGAGATAAGAATGGAAGATACGGTTCATCAGGTCCATAAATACTGCTGGAGCATTACTGAGGCGAAATGGCATGACTACGAACTCATAATGACCATACTGAGTACGAAAAGCGGTCTTTGCAATGTCTGACTTCTTGATCTTCAGCTGATGGTAACTTGATCGTAGATCAATCTTAGAAAATACACAGGCTCCCCTCAGTTGATCGAACAAGTCGTTAATTCTGGGAAGTGGATATTTATTCTTGATAGTTAACCGGTTGAGATCCCGGTAATCAATACACATGCGCATAGAACCGTCCTTCTTCTTGATGAAAAGAACGAGTGCTCCCCACGGTGAAACACTCAGTCGGATGAACCGAGTTTCAATAACTCCTGAATTTGAGTCTTTAATTCCTGCAATTCTTTTGGCGCCATTCGGTAGGGTGCTTTGGAAACTGGGCCGGCTCCTGGAACAAGATCAACAGAGAACTCGACCTGCCGGTTAGGTGGTCCTCCTGGAAGTTGTTCCAGAAACACATCCACAAACTCACGAACAATAGGAACGTCGTGAGGTGTCCGTGCTTTCGGTTTATCCTCGACGAGACTCACAAGATAACCCTGACAATCACCTCGCCGTAACATCTTTTTGGCTTTCGCCATGGAAATAACATGAGGTAAAGAACGAGTCTTGGTGCCAAAGAAAGTAATATGATCATCTCCCGGAAGATAAAGAGTAATCTCCCGGTCATGGCATCGAATATCTGCATGAAAAAAAAAAGTTAGCCAATCTATATCGAGAATGAGTTCAAAATCCCTCATCTCGAGAACATAAGCGTCGGTAGACAAGATACGACCACCGATAGAAAGGCTGAGATCAGTAGCTTTGGCATCAGTCACTATCTTTCGTCCCGAGGCTAAACTTACCTCGAGAGGATCGACAACGGTAATAGAATGTACTCCAATGGCATCAAGACATCGTCGCGATATAAAAGAGTGAGTTGTTCCAGTATCAAATAAAGCGAAGACAGGAACATTGTTAAGCATAATCATCCCAGACATAGTACCTGGGTGCTGCTCTGCCTCGGCTTGATCTACAGCATAAACACGAGCATGTTGTCTGCCCCTCTGTTGCTGCTGGGGTGGCCTCGGGGCCTGTTGTCTGGGCTGCTGCTGTGGCTGTTGTGGTGGTTGCTGGGGTCGCTTTGGACAGCGACTAACGAAATATCCAGGCTCATCGCAAAAGTAACGAAATATGGGGTCGTCCACAAGTAGGGCATGGTGGAACCTGTTGTGGCCTGGCATCACCTGGTTGTTTCGGACGGATCCTCCTGTCACTCTAGAAACCTTTCCCTTTCCTTTTCTTGCCCTTCGGTTGTTGGGCAGCAGCTGATTGAACTGGTGGGGCTGAGGATGATTGGGCAGGGGCAAATGGCTGAAGACGATCGTGATTGGCCTCCCTCCGGATGCTGGAATCAACCTCCTGAGCTATGGTGACAGTACGGGCATAGGTCTGGACTCCATGACCTACAATGTTATGATGGACTGCTGGTAATAGCCCGTCAGTGAAACGCCTCGATCTCTTTGCCTCTGTGCTCACCAGATCAGGAATAAAAGCTCCAAGTCGAGTGAATTCTCGCTCGTACTCATCCACTGTACGAGTACTTTGTTTGAGTGCCAGAAATTGGCGCTCCATTTCAGCTCGATAGTACGCAGGATAATATTTCTCGCAAATTAACTCCTTGAACCTGTCCCACGTACAACCTTCATTTTCACCTGGACGCATTCCGTAGTAGGCATTCCACCAGAGACGTGCGTCACCCGTCAATTGGATCTGTGCGCAAAGAACGTGATAACAGTCGGGACAGTCCACGACCTCGAAAATCATTTCAAGGCCCTGAACCCATTCGTCAACAACTCGAGGATCTCCCTGGCTGGAGAATTTCTCGGGATGATAGTCTCAAAACTGAGCGACTACAGTGGCCTGGGGAACCTCCTGATGATCTGGATCTTGACGTGGCGGCATCTGAATATTGAAAATGTCAATATCATCAGACACAGGAAAAATACTTTAACTGACTAATAAGGCGCACAAATCTCTTGACGAGTTGCTTAACATGACCTCGAAAATCCAGACATTGAATCATGGACATATTGGACTATAAATCCTGAAGATAACTCGAGCATCCTAACTAAGTTATAACTGTGAATTTTTTCTGAGCATAGACGTAGTCATTTGTTTATAATTTACAACATGAATCAGCACTTACCTGTAGTCGGTGGGGCGTGAGCGTGACGTGTTCAGGTTTTATAAAAATTTATGACTCATAAAAATATTCAGAGATGCAGAAACGTGCTTTGATACCAACTGTAACACCCCGCTTTTCCATAATTATCAGAGTTACATTTTCGCAAAATCTTTTATTAAAAATACCGATTAATTTGCGAAATTGTAATTCGGAGTGCTACCATAACTATAACTTTACTTTAAAATCCGTTAATTTTAGTTTTTAAAGAAAACCGGGTTGTCATAATATAAACAATCCGACTAGTAATCAGACCAAAAGGCTAAGTTTGACAAACTTGAAAATTCAGCGGAAATCGTAGCGTGACAAAACATGTAATTCAAACTACGGGAGATAGTAACAGCACTGCTATGCGAAATTCAAACATATAAACAAAATCCTGAACCGTCCGTCAGATCACTCCTCTGGTCCGACTCTGTGACCTGAAAAGCATATATAAACAAGGGGCGTGAGCACTAAAGTCCATTGTGCTACGTAGGAACTCATACTAAAGTAAACAGTGAAAATAATTGCAATATTATGATCCTGGCATATACATAACCATCAACATGAACTGGTAAACCATTACCATCACATAACCGTTACCTCATAACCGTTACCTCATCTGCCAGCATGAAAATGCCGGACACCATGTGCACACTCTAGTGGGCAGACTAGGTCACTAGAACCCAGAATGGACCGGCGACCATTCCAAGCGGATACATAACATAACCTGATACATACCTCAAACATGGTAGAGTAATTATAATCAATGTAATATCCAGTCTGAGTCCCCACCTGAACCGTCGATATGAAACTGGAAGTGCTGATGATCGTGAACTGTTCAAACTGTAACATAATATAAATAAATACTAAGTACTATGCTCAGACTTAATAAATTTAATTGTTAAGATGCTCGACTTTACTTGACATAGCTTTTGAACTTATCCAGAACCAGAACATTAAACATTAAACCAGGAGGTAATCCGGTCTGAATCGGTCGGTTCGTTGGCTGGTCGGACCACCGGCTTGCTATGGCCGGGCGGTCGGCCGCTGGCTCGGTCAACTGGCTCGGTCCCCCGCAGGGCCTGTTAGGGCCTCGGGCGCAGTCGCTGGCATGGGCTGGGCTCGGCTTAGGCACAACAGGGCCTTACTGGTCATGGTTGGGTACGGACATGGACGCCCGCGCATGCTGGCGTGCCACTGGGCACAACCGGTCGTGGACGAAGCCTCGCTGGCACAACATGTGCTAGCCTGGGCCGACCGGGCATGACTTTGAGCCCTGACGTGCGGCTGGCGCAACCGGCGCTCATGGAACGACCATCGTGTGCGGCTGGGCACGATCGACGGTCGACTGGACTTGTGGCGTGGCGATTGGCGCTGCTGGGAACTGCGGGTGCCGGCACTTGCGCGACTGGGCACTTTCAGGCGCTACCGAGCACCGCGACAGGCAACGGGGCACGTGGACGCGCGACTGGTACTGGCTGACGTGACTGGTACCGCTCGGGTGCTGCCGAGCGACCCTGACGGCACTGGACGCTCGACGTGCTGTCGGGCACTGTCGAGGCCAACTGGCATGCGGCTGAACGTACTAGCGTGCGCAGGAACATGTCGGCGTGCGCTGGGCACTAACCGACTATCGACTGATGTGGCAGTGACCACTTGCGACGCCCGACTGGGCATACTTGCGCCATCCGCCCGACTGCCTGACTAACTGCCGGTACGCTGTGGCCGCCATGTGCGGCAGCGCGACTATGACCGGCTCGTTGCCGGCCGTCCGACGACTTGATCCGATAACTTTAACTTCAATTAACATGACATAACATGACATGATCAAATACACTTAAATCATTGAAAAAAAACTATGGATTCAACCTACAAATAACCCCACGAAGCTTGAACGGGTCGTGGCGTGCGCTACGTGCGCCGCCCATGGCCTCGACCGATTCTTTCGACCATTGACAAGTTCATCCGGCAATTAAGACGAAACAAAGCTTAACATGACATATAAGTCATTAGGACATGAATTGTACTAAAGTTACCGGTCATAATCAAGCATAGCTCGATGACTTATATGGCATAATCGAGAGCAACATAGCGACGCATATGGCTTAACATTCATGATTTCAACTTAACACGATCAAATAATCATAGAAAGAAAGTTAATATGGTTGTACCCTCTCAATTGCTCGGTCAATAATACGCGACTTGCGTGCGTCCGTAACCTTGCGTGCGTGCGTGCAGTCCTTCTTTTCTCTCGGTAATGGCTAAGGTAAGCGTATTGTTCTATCTTAATCTCTTGATTATGTTTGGTTTTTCATGGCCCAAATAGTCATGGTAATTGCCAAATAAATAGGTAAAAGAAGATGAAAGTGAAATTGAGGCTAATAGGCGTGTGACATTTGTCGTGCAATTAGGTCTAGGTGGCCTTTCCTTTGCTTGGTCATAATGCTAGGTGGCACTTAGGAAGCTAGCTTAGTCATCATATGAAACTTACTATGATGCCACATAATCTAGTGGAATGATAACTTGGAGATGCAAGTTGCTACAGTACTCACGGCACTTGATGTGTTAGGACTAAGCTAAGCATAATTGACTTTAAGCTAAACATGGCTAATGATGTACACATGACCTATGTGACCAAGGAGTGATCTCTCGGCAATTGGCGTGATCTAAGCACAATTGCGCACTATAATTCTTGATAATGAGCAACTTAAGCACAATTGGCTCGGAATTGAACTTAATACTATTGATCATGAATTTAAACTTGTAGCATATGAACTTAAATATATAAAAATGATTCTGAGCATATACATAAATTTGGCTAGAGTTCAACTTGGCCGAAATTACTTAATTTCGGTCGGAACATGACTTCAAAATCAATTCAAATATTCATGACTTGGAATAATTAATACTGACTGATAACATTCGATAATAAAATAAATATTATCGAACTAAACACATAATTTATTATAATAGCATAATGGGTTATTAAAACGAAGAAAACCAAAATAGAGCAAAACACACAATAAACTATAAAACGAACTAAAAATCATCTAAAAGACTTAGTATGGGGGAAAAATAAGGTCAAAATAACAACAAAAAACGCAACAAAAATGGGACAAACAACGAGCCCGCGGCGTACGGGCACGCAGCTGGCTGCAGACACCGAAATGTTGCAACCCTTGGTGATTATAAGGTGTCTTTTGGCCTCTAGATGTGTCCGTTCTTGTTCCGGTACATCCTAGAAGGGGTTTTTTGGCACTTAAACCTATTGGAGGTGTTTTCCAACATCTATAAATACTCATGTACATGAAACCATTCACAACTTGAAAAGTGAAGAGCTCTTGAATTACATTTTCAATGTTCATAAAGCATATTGTATTCTTTAATTTTTTTTCGTTGAGTCTTGAGAGTTCTAAACAATAGTATTGTTCGCCAAAGGCTTGTATATTTGAAATACTGTTATTTACAAGTTGAAAGTCATTGTATCTTGGAGGCTTTTCCCGTTAACCGTGGGTATTTTATGGGGCAATTTTGTCTTAAAGAGAACGTAATTATTACGTACATTGACTTTGACTTTTGTTTCATTTTCTTCAACCTTCTTATGCTGTGTTTTTATATTCACATATCACACAAATTACAAGCCACCAAGTCGAGGTTTGGCCGCAGGTTAGAGATGATGGGTTGTCAATTTGTGGATCTGTCCACGGGGATCGGAGACATATGACTGGCTCTCTAAACCATCGTTCAAGGCAAGAAAACGAACCACCATTTTGCCAAAGGACGAGGAAGACATAGGGGAGCACGGGGTGGAAAAGATAGTTGGGGCTTTGGCGGCGCACCCCACAATTGGTCGCCGCCACCACAGTACGAAGAGGAGGACACCGAGGACACCTTTTCAGAAGCGAACCCATTCAGCGTCCGCACGACTTGACATGAAGACTAGGGCTTCGGAGACTACCGTTGGGAGGTTGAGTTCCAGGTGGAAATCCCAGAAATCTCCAGCGAGCTGGATGCGGCTGACTTCCTCTACTGGTTCGTTGTCGTTAATTCTATTCTTGAATGCAAAGAAGTGTCGAACGAGCGTAAGGTGAATTTCGACGAGACGCGACTACGGAGTTGGGCGACGGATTGGTGGCAGTAGTGGAAGGGTTCGCGACATCATTCATGGCAAGCCAAAAATCACAACATTGGCTAAATTCCATAAGCATCTCGAACGAGAACTCTTGCCATTTAATTATGTGCGTAGGTGTATTAGAAACTTCAAAACTTGAGACAGAGTTCGTGCTCGATTGATGAATACATTGAGGAGTTTTATAGGCTCCTCACACGCGTTTATGTTTTCGAAACCACAGACCAAATTGTTTTCTCGTTAATCGGTGGGTTACATGTCTCTATTCAAGATACACTAAATTTATCTCGGATACGATCTCGGTTGCACATCACAGGGCGTTGTTAGTGTAACAACAACAAGCCTGGAGGGCGACCGCTTCTTTTGTGTCGTTTGTGCAATAGCCTACGGGGCAGCGGGGGCTTGCAGGGGTTGCGGTTGTTGGTCGTGTCTCGTGTCTGGGGGCGGTAATAAACAGCGGGCACCCCACTCTGCTTCACTTGCGGCGAACCGGGGCATCCTCGGGCACAATGTCCGAAGGCGAGCGGGTCGTGGGCTTTATTTGTTGAAGAGCCAAAGTCAGCCGATTACACTGGCCCTCCGATCTTCGAAGTCGAGCCTGAGGTTCTAGAGGAGCACGTCTCTGGGGACATGAGTCATGCGCTGTCCTTCGTGTGTTTCTTTTATCCCCCACGTCTTGCCCGATGTTACCAGGCAACACCATCATATCTTTGAGTCCACATGCACGGTTGGGGGATGTGTGTCATTTTATGATCGATTCGGACGTCTGCGAAAATGTGGTAGCATTGGAGGCCATCGAGAAGTTACATTTGCTGAGTGAACCTCACCCTCAGCCATACACACTTTCATGGACTCAGCGAGGGAGTTCGGTCACGGTGGATTGTCATGTTTTGGTTGCTTATTCCATCGGGACTACATACATGAATGAGGTCTGGTGTGACGTCGTGCCTATGGACGCCTGTCATCATTTGTTGGGGCTTCCGTGGCAGTTTGATCGTGTTGTGGTTCACGATAGTCGCCTCTTACTTATGGCTTTCTATTGGACGACGCCCGCATTATTCTAGATCCATCACCGCCTCGTTCGACTTCTTTTTCATCGTCGTCTACTATGTTATTCATTTCTCGTGCCTTTGTCCACTTAATGCGCGAGGCTCCCGAATGATGAAGACAACTTCGGTCAGAATCGAGGGCGAATCCTTCTCCACCAGGGTGAATGATGAAGACGAGATTAAGTAATTATTAGTGTAATATACTTGGTATGATATTTTTATCATTATTATTCAAAGTCCTCGTCTTGTTTGACAAGCTAGGAATCTAGAACTTTAAGAAATCTTATTTAAAGACTCTTCTTCTTTTGTTGTAAGGGTGAATTATTGAATCAAGAATTTGCGTATTTGATAGAGAAATTCTCTTCTCTTGTTTTCCAGTTGTACGTTGTGCTACATCACATCCTACAACGCAATCTGAGAGGAGAAACAATTCAAAACATTTGAGAGGAGAAAGAATCATCATACAACGCAATACAAATTCTGTTTTACTGACCGATCGGCGTTTTGAGTTTCTGTTTTCAATTCGGTGGGAGAAGCCTTACAATCTCCGAAAAGAATCAACAGAACATATAAAACTTAAAGAGAAGCATGGCATATGGAACTTCTAGATAAAGACATCTAAATCCATATCACAACACCATAACAATAAATTTTAGTTACACACACACACACACATAAAAAGAGCCAAAATGTAATGCTAAATGATACACATTGTTTGATCATTAAACAGAAGAATCCATATATTTATTATGTACACACATATATACAAGTCCTTCCACATAAATCGCCAGATGAGCAAAATATACACATTACTGAAATGCCTTGATTATTGATTTCTATTTACAGAAGTCATCCAATCCCCATGCAGCATACCTGAAACTCCAAATATATAGTAGAGGATTGCCATTTTTATTTGTTTTGGGGGTAAACTGGGTAAAGAGAAAGGTGCTTAAATGAAAATTGCTACCTAAATTCCATAGGAAATGATATGGAATGTAAGAACATCATGTCCAGTTCCTCTTATTTCGAAGCTGAGTTAACTTGTCCCTCCACAGAGCTATGGCAAAAACAAATGGTGATAGTCAGATGATGTCCAAAATTTCTACACAAAAGTTTTGTTGTTTATGGAAATGACCGCTAAGTTAAGCTAAAACCAAATAATAAAAATGTTATCCAATTAGCATGTTCCTTACTAAAAGTTTACTAATTACTAGTGAAAGTTACCTGCATCTGTATAACGTTCCTCGACAGCAGCAATTAGCATGTTCCTTAATAAAATGAACTCCTTCGTCTCTATGCATGGCTGGCCGGTAGGTCTACATAAATAGTAAAAGAATAGGGTTTGTAATTCTTACAAGTTACAAAGAATAAAATAAATATTGCTCTAAACTAATAAATCACCCAAGTGGAAGATTGGGATCTGGGAGTTTTGGATTTCGGTTTTCACCTGTCTAGCTCAGTAAACAACTGTCCATCTAATGATGAACTCTGAACGGGCACCTTTGCAGACTCAACAATCCTCATACCATCATTATATGTCAAGAACTTGTTCACTTGTA